TATTTTAAAATATTAATTAGGTTGTTTAATTTAAAAAACGTATTATTCTACTGACACATAACAAAATATCAATGAATATCTTTAGATCCAACCATCACTTGGAATTGTACACATTAGAGATGTGGAAATTTAGGGAAAAGGTACGAACACAACACATCTTTGCACTTGATTGTGATTGCTTCTAATTCGGCGACCTAATTAATTCATGAGAGGACTGACCTGCAATGCTAGAGACAATGAATAATCATGGTCTCAAACACTAGCTAAACAATATTTATAAATTTCAACTTAACCATAAAATAAGAAGCGAAAAAATTAAAACAATTATACAGGAATCTAACCAAAACCATAATATAATTAAATTATAAGAAAAACTTAAAATTTAAAATATTATTATCATATAAAAACTTATAACACTATATTCTTCACTATTGAGACCAATCAGCTCTTTTTACCCATGTTTTCTTATCCCAACTATGATAAAAACCGTCTGATCTTACTGACCAAAAAACAAAATTTTGATTTTGATCATATCCAACATCTCGTGCATTGAACGTACAATGTAAATTGTTCCATACAGCCAAACATGCATGATTAGAGGAAAAGTTAACATTGATGAAAGATGTAGATCCTGAAGTTCCCACAAAGGATCCTGCTAAGCCACAATTATAATGCACTGATGATGATTCAGGCACTTCAGTTTGTATAGAAACAATACTTTCTGTTTCGTCTAAAGCTGAAGTATAATGGAGACAAAATAAAAATACAACAAAGAGTATAGCATGCCATGAGTTAGCCATTTTCAAAATTCAGAGTGATTAAAATTCTAGAGTTAGACTCAATATATAGATATAGCACTCCTCGTATTAGTCATCAATAATTGTTTCATGATATTATATAAAATACATTCAATTTCCTCTTAATTATCACAATAATCACGTCATTGGAAAATAATATTTTTTTTCCATCTTTAGTATAATGGATTCACTTTTATTTATTAATATACATTTTAATGATTTTCTTTTTTAAAATAAGCAAATCAAATCACTTTTAAAATAAAGCAAATCAAATCAAATTTCATTTCTTATGTGTTTTTAGAAAATTTATCACCAATCAATTATTTAAAATTTCATTACATATTTTTTTTAGAAATTATAATTAAGTGAATTAAATCACTTTTACTAGAGCAGATAATAATCTTGAAGACACAAATCTGAGGAGTCATTTTTATTTGTCTTATTTTTTTAAAATAAAAAACTAAATGCTAGTATTAAAATTAAATTATGTTTTTTTTAAAGAAAAATTATTAATTTATAAATATCGAAAGAGAAATATCAGTAACTACTATAACCATTATCATTACATAAAATTATGCATTATTTTTGTTAAGAATATATTGCATATTTTTACTATAAAATAAAATTATCAATTATTATACATTAATGTTGTAATATATAAATATATAAAATATATATATATATATATATATATATATATATATATATATATATATATATATATATATATATATATATATATATATATATATATATATATATATATATATATATATATATATATATATATATATATATATATATATATATATATATATATATATATATATATATATATATATATATATATTCAGCTGCATAAATTTATTATATTCTAAGAATATATTGTATATTTTACTATAAAATAAAATTATCAATTATTATACATTAATGTTTTAATATATATATATATATATATATATATATATATATATATATATATATATATATATATATATATATATATATATATATATATATATATATATATATATTAGATTTTAATTTTATTCATAATAAAAAAAATATGATTGTTCAGGCCCAAAGGAGAAAACATATATTTTAAATTAACTCTATTTTTCATAGCAAATCTATAATAATAAATATAAAATTTTCAAAATAAGGTTACTCTATTCTACAATAAAACAGATTTAGATTCTATTATTACTAAATGTGCGATTGAGAAAAAATTTAAAATAAGAGATGAGAGGAATAAACAATAACTATTAGACCAATTAAAAAGTTTTGATTAACCTTATTTATTAATGTATTTATTAATTTCTCTCTCTTATTAAAATACAATTTATCTTTCTTATTAATAATTTAATTTAATAGTTGTTGTTTGTTTCTCACATCTCTCACTTAAAATCACTATCATTTAATATATTGATTATTATTTTTTTAAAATCACAATAAGTATTAATTTTTATTTTTCAATTAATTTTGAAATTAAGCGAATATAATCACTTTTATTTTTTCAATACACATTCTAATTATTATTTTTTTATTTTAGAAAATTTATTACAACAATCAATTATTTCAAATTTCATTACTTAATTTTTAATAGTAATTTTAATTAATTCAATTAAATCACTTTTACTAAACATATTAATAATTTTAGAGACACCTACAAATCTGACCCATCATTTTTATTTTTCTTCTAATTAATTCTAATTTTTTTATATTTATAATAAAAAACAAAATGTTAGTATTGAGTAAAATAAAATAAAATTAATTTTTTTTAAAATTATTAATTTATAAATATCAATGACAAATATATCTACTACAACCTTTCTCGTAATGTTGTATTTTAAATTATTTTTTATAAGGATATATTGCATATGTTCACTATAAAATAAATTATTAATTATTATTCATTGACTTTATAAAATATTTCTATATATGTATTCAACTATGTAAATAAGATCATAAAATCACTTTTATAAATTTAAAACGTATATTCTAAATAATAGAGTTCTCTTAAGCTAGTATACATAGAAGAAGAAATTATTAACAGACAATTATATTAATGGGAAATGAGATTGTTAGATGATTTTTTATACGACATTTTTGATGATTAACGTTTCTGTTTATGAAGAATAGCTACAGTAAAATTTTCAATTCCTTAACCCTAAACCTAATTTCTGCGATTCTTTTTAAGATTTTCGTCAATTCAAAGCTGCTGTCTTCGATTCAGCGAAGATTAGGAGATTATCTTCGGCTTAAATTCCTAGCTTTCGAGTTTAGGGGCCTTGGTAATTTTTTGGTTTTTATTTGGATCGAGACAGTGGAGTTACCATGAGTTGGGAAAGGGTTTCCGGTAGAAAGGTTAGAAGCGGAAGTTTTTTAGTTTGGAAGAAGAACAAAGGAAAATGAGCTTCTTCTGGTGAAATCACAACTTCATTTTTTGTCACTGAGTTTTGTGAAAACATGAATGCCAAAGATCTGTTTGAGGTCTTCAAGGTCTATGGAGTCATATCAGAAGTTTTTTTTTCTGCTAAGAGAGATAAGCGAGGTAATAGATTCGGTTTCGCCAAATTTCAGAAAGTTCATGATCCAAGAATCCTGGCCTGTAACCTTGATAGCATTGTCTTGGAAGGCAAAAAAATCTACGTCAATATACCTAAGTTTAGTAAAGAGAACAAAAGGCATCTTCCTGTTAGTGAGAAGAACAAAAGGCACCTTCCTGATTGTGAAAATTTGAGGAGTAACATCCAAACTGGTTGTACCAGGAACTTCTTGAAACCTAATATCCAGGTTAGGTCCTTTGCCAAAGTGGTAAGAGGAGATTACCCTAAGTTTATTGATAGGGCCAAGGTAGGAGGTCAATGCACAAAACTTGAGCTGGATGATGAATGGTCAAGGAGGTTGAATCGTATGAGAGTGGGTGAAGTCATGAAGGATGGAAATGCTTTCAACATTCAGAAGTTAATTTTTGAAGAAGGTTACTTTAACATTAAGGTTACTCCATTGGGAGCTTCATTGTGTTTGATGGAAGACACATCAGGAGGAGACTTAGAAGGTTTTATCAAGGAAGCTAGAGTATGGCTAAATATCTAGTTCAGAGACATCCGCAAGTGGCAAATGGAGGAAATTGACAGGGATAGGATGGTGTGGGTATATTGCTATGGTCTACCTTGTGTCGCCTTGAGTGAGAAAAATTTCAGGCAGATTTCTTCCAGTCTGGGATCGTTTGTCAAATGTGATGAGAAGACGAGGAACAAAGAGAAATTGGACATAGCGAGATTTCTTATTAAAACAAGACTCAGGATTATTCTGAATTTCTTGGTTGACATTGAAGTGAACAATCACACCTTTTTAATTTCAATCACAAAAGACCTTTCGTGTGGGAGTGGAGACCCTTTGTTTGGTGAAGAAGATGAGGTGATAGATTCAGATGAATTTGACTCCTCAAACCCTTCAGACTTAGAGGGCGCGTGGGAGATACCTGAAGAGGAAGAAAGTGAAGATCTCAAATCCTTGTTCTCAGAGACAGAAGCCAGAGCTCCCAATACTGATGTCCAAAAGGAAGATGGTGACTTCTCAGTGTCAGACATTGTATCAGTTGTTGGGTATAGCTTAGGGTCTAGTGTGGAAGGTAATGGGTTAAGAAGGAAAAATCATAAGGTTTCAGTCGCTCTATTTAGTTCAGAAGGAACTGAACCATATAACTTTCTGGCTGACCTAGAACTTAATCAGTCCAAAGCAGTTATCGAGGTACCCAGTCTTGATGGGGGATTGGTGGTAGACCTGGGCCTGCCTCATCCAATTAGTGGGCCTTCATGAGGTTTATAATTGCATTAAAATACCATACACCCCCTCTTATTTTTCCACTCTTCTTCTCACGGATCCCAAGGAGAACCTTAGACCTGTGTCGAAAGGGAAAACTAGGGAGGACAGTATGAAGAAAAAGTTGTCTAAAGAAACTTCTTAATCTAGTTCAGCTCTATTGTCTTGCGAATCGATCACCGACACTAACGTTGAGAGGGGTAACTCGAGATGTAGAAGGGCCATTGTTGATGTTCCATCTAAATTGGGTGATTTTCTTAAAGTTCTGGGTATTCAGGGCAAAGATGAAGAAGTTATTGGGTGAACTCTGAGGATTTTGGATAACGCAAATAAGGATGCTAGTCTAGGCAAGAAGGATGTAGCTACAATTGGTCCATGAATTTAATTTCTTTCAATGTTAGAGGCTGTTGTAGTTCCATCAAGAGAAGGAGATTAACTCAAATTATTCAGAGAGGAAATGCCGATATTTTCCTTATTCAGGAAACCAAGGTTATCAAGATGGAGGATGGTATAGTTTTCAGCATGTGGAGGAATTTTGATTTGGATTGGTCAGCTCAGAACTCCGTTGGGAACTCTGGTGGAATTCTAACCATGTGGAATACTGTCAGAATCTCTGCTTGTTTTAGTTTAATGGGAAAGGATTCTTAGGTCTAAACTTTGTTTGGAATAACCATAGGTTGATGGTGATCAACGTTTACGCTCCTTGTGGATCAGCTGATAAGAGGAAGCTTTGGAGAGATTTGATTAAAATTAAGAACAATTACCCTGACATTGGTTGGATCGTGGGATGGGATTTTAATGCGGTGAAAAATAGGGAGGAAAGGAAGGGCCTAAGTGGTTATAACAACAGGGATATAAAGGAGTTATGTGATTTCATTAAGGAAATGAATTTGGTGGATTTACCGGTGTTTGGAAGCCGTTTCACTTGGTTCAACTCTAACGGTAAGAACAAAAGTAGGCTGGATAGAGTTTTGGTTGATGATAGGGTTATATCTTTGTTTACTCTGAAGAATCAAGTGGCGGGGGATAGAGACATATCAGATCATCGACTGGTGTGGTTGAAGTCCAATTTCATCAATTGGGGACCAAAACCTTTTAGGACTTTCAACTGTTGGTTCTACCACAAGGATTTCATCCCGTTCGTTATGAAATTGTGGCGCTCTTACCAATTTACAGGTTCTTTCTGCAGCATCCTTTCTAAGAAATTTCAAGCTCTTAAATGAGACCTTAGGATATGGAATCTCAAAGTGTTTGGTTGGCTGAATTTGAACATAGAGGATAATATCTCTAAGTTCAACAAGCTGGAACTAGAATCAGATGAGGAGTCTAATCTGCAATCTACTGATCTGGACAGAGAGAAACTGCGATACCAGGAGGAAATATGGAAGAATATGCGGATCAAAGAAAGCATGATAGCCCAAAAATCTCGGGTTAGTTGGCTCCAAAATGGGGATCTTAATACCAAATTTTTTCATGACTCCCTTAAATCCATGAATAGGTTGAATCATCTCTCAGCTGTTAGAGTGGGAGGCAGGACTGTTGAAGAACCTGAGAATATTAAGGATGAAGCGATGAAGTTCATTAAGGACAAATACAGGCAATCAAACTCGACAAAATTCAGAAGTGATTTGGTTTTGGCTGCCTATCTTGATGAGGAAGACAAACTGTTTTTGGAAACAGATTTTAGCACCTCTGATGTTAGAAAGGATGTTTTCAGTTGTGTGGGTAACAAATGTCCCGGTGTCGATGGATTTAATTTTAAATTCATAAAATTATGTTGGGAAATAGTAGGTTAAGACTTCTCGAATTGCATTTTGGATTTCTTCAAGACAGGAGTTCTCTCTAAGATGTTTGCGTCCTCTTTCATTTCGTTGGTTCCGAAGATCTCCAATCCACAACAATTTAAAGATTTCAGGCCAATTTCTCTTATTAGCTGTATCTCCAAGCTTTCATCCCGAGTCGGCAAATTTACGATGGGGTTCCGCTGGCCAATGAAATAGCAGATTATGCTAAGAGATTTAAAAAGGAATGTCTGTTTTTCAAAGTTGACTTCGCTAAAGCCTACGACTGTGTCGACTGGATTTACCTAGATGAAATGCTTGTCAAGATGGATTTTGGTCCTAATTGGTTAAAGTGGATTAGTGGATCAGTGTTCAAGAGTTACGTTTCGATTCTTATTAACAGAAGTTCTTCGAAGGATTTCAAGGTTGGAAGGGGTCTGAAGCAGAGGGATCCTTTGGCTCCGTTTCTGTTTGCCATAGTTGCAGAGGGATTATCTTGTTTAGTCAGAGCCGCAGCTGCCGGTAACTTGTTAACAGAATTCAAGATCAATGATCAAAGTTCTGAGAGCATGCTTCAGTTTGCGGATGACACTCTTCTTATAGGAGATGGTTCGGTTATGAATATATGGGCTTTCAAGGCTGTCCTGCGCGCGTTCGAATTGATTTCTGGTTTGAAAATTAATTTTTCTAAAAGCTATCTATACGGGATAGGAGTAGACCCTGCTTTCCTTGCTGGAGCTGAAGAATTTCTGCACTGTAAATCTGACAGGTTGCCGTTCAGTTTTCTCGATCTCCAGGTAGGAGGAAATCATCGTCGACATTCTTTTTGGAATCCAGTTCTATCTCGTATGAGGAGTAAACTATCAAATTGGGCTGGGAGAAATCTGTTAATGGGAGGTAGAGTATCCCTCATAAACTCGGTTTTAGCTAACTTGCCTATTAATTACTTGGCTTTCTTCAAGGCTCCTAAGAAAATCATGAACGATATTATTGCAATCTAAAGGCGCTTCCTCTAGGCTGGGAACTCTACTAAAAAGTTCATTTCTTGGATATCATGGAACTCCATCTGTAAGCCGAAGGAATACGGAGGCCTGGGCATTAAGCACATAGGTCGTTTTAATTGTGCTCTTATAGCAAAATGGATGTGGAGATTTCTAAGCGGTGGAAATAAAATTTGGAGAAAAACGTTGAATCTCAGATACAGTAACTTGAGCATGAAGGTGCAAACTTTCGCTGACGTCGGTAACTTGAAATTAGACTCTCTTTGGATGAAGGATATTATGTCAAGTTCAACCTGCGACTTCAATGTGGACTTCTGCAAGTTTATGGCTTGCACTATTGAAGAAGGTCACAATACGACGTTTTGGCAATCAAATTGGATTGGAGATCTTCCGCTTAAAAGTAGGTTTCAGCGGTTGTTTCAGGCCTGTTCCAGGAAAGTTTCAACAGTCAACGAGATGGGTTTTTAGGAGGATGGTCAGTGGGTTTGGAAAGTTAGAGAATCGTTGATAGACGAGGGATCCAATTTCGAACCAGATTGGACAGATTGTAGTGTTTTGTTGGATCAGGTGGCAGCCAACATCAATGTCGTTGATAATTGGAAATGGCTTCTTCATGATTCTCTTTCGTATAAGGTTAGATCTTTCTATACTGGTTCATCCTCTTCCTCTTCTGCTTCTGTTTATATTATTGGAAATGATAGTGCTGCTCTTCTGGAGATCCTTTGGAAAACGGTGTTACCGGCAAAAGTCCAAACTTTTATTTGGAGGTTGGCGCTTGATAGGCTACCTACCAGATCCAATTTGATGAAAAGAAGGGTGATTGACTATTCCCAAAACTTGGATTGTGCATTCTGTTCGTCAAGCTACGAGGACGTTTCACATCTTTTCTTCTCGTGCTCTAAATCTTCGTTGGTATGGAATAGGATTTGCGAGTGGATGGATATAGAGAATACTTCGGAGGATTGTTGTAGTCTTCATGCGAAGGTCTGGAAATCGAGATTTCTGGGCCGCTGCAAAGAGAACAAGATCAACTCTATTTGGTTCATTTCTTGCTGGAGTTTATGTAGGGCTAGAAATAACATTATTTTAAAAAATGCTTCTATTGACGTTTAGGACATTGTAACCAATATTAAAGTTATCTCGTGGAATTGGTTGATATTAGGTAGACAGGATAGTAATCATTGTAGTTTGTACGATTGGTTTAAATTTCTGTTCGATTTTATGTAACAGTCTTGTATTAGGCTTTGTTTGTACTCTTGTTGTTCAAAGATTTTCTTAATCTCTTTAATATATTATTGCTTATAAAAAAAACAGACAATTATACTATGGTTATGTTTATTTCAGCTTTAAAAAAATGGATTTGTTTTTGTAATGTTAAAAATAGATTTTAAATATCATTTTTTAAGATATTACAATTTTTTTTATATTTATTTAAAATAAAATAAAATACTATTTTTGACATCCTATAACATATACATACATTATTGAAGATTAAAAGATAGTCGAAATTACAACTTTTTCAAAAAGTTATCTCAAAAATGATTTTTTTTAAAATATATTTGAAATAACTTCAAAATTAAGTGATTTTTTAAATTTTGATATTAAATTTTTTTTAATATAATAATAAAATATCTAAAATAACAACTATTCAAATTAAATTTTCATTTGAAACTTTTATTAGAAGTTTCTTTGTAATTTTTTTTCACACAAAATTATGTTAGACTATAAAAAAAACATTAAAAAAACCAAGCAAACGGCCCTAAATATTGAAATAAAATCTGAGTTAAATACATAAAAAAGTATACCGATATTTCTTATTAAAACATCTATCACAAAAATATATATAAAGAGTGTTCAGTACATTATTTATAATTATCCCTTGAACAAAATATATGAGGTCTATTGGAGAATATAATTAGTTGATTTTGAAAATTTTATGTTTATTATCATAGATTTATTCTTAAAAATGTATATTTGTTATATATCAACCAATTTGGTGTAGATTCTGAAGAATAAAATATTTAATTAACATATACGAGTTGTATATTTGTTATTATGATTGAGAACTTTTTTTAAATTAACTTGGTATTTTTATTCTTTAAAGAGAGTTTATAATTTTGACATTATTTCAATACTATCCATTTGTATTGTGTTCTTAAGGATCAAGACTAAGGTATCTTGGTGCTACATTTGATTCATGATAATCACTTCTCTTGGATTCAAAGCATTGGAACCTTAATTTTGATCTTTGAAACTTGCGGATAATGTAGACTATATCATAACATTGGATTTGATTGTGAATTACAAGTTTATTTGGGCAACTATGAGAGATTCACTTTGACTGACTAATCTCTTTATGAGCCTATTCAATACACTAGTTCATTAGTTTTTTGGTCTAGATGCAAGACAAGACATTGCAGTTCATACAAGATTCAAGATTCATGTTCAATTTCAAGGGTCAAGATTTATTCAAAGATTAACACAAAATCAAGTTCAAGTGCTCAATTTTGGAGGGAAAAACATTATTTCTTGAAACACAAGTTGCATTACATCATTCAAAAGCCATTTTTCATTTTAAGAACATCCATTTTACATTGCGAATCCAAATTACAAAAAACAATTACACAAAACAACACATGTTTCCTAGAGATGACTTTTGGTCAACTGTTGACTTTTTGGTCAAATAGTTGACCAAGGTCAACTCACTATACTATCCTACTTGCTTAAACATCTTCATATATCTCCCTTTGTGCCTCCAAGTCTTTAATGATTTGCCTTGAACGTGTCACGAATTAGCCTTGGCCATTCCACCTTGTGCACCTTAACTCTATAAGGAAAAAATGTCAGCAACATTAGCACATTCACA